CTGCTGAACTGCAGTATTTATAAATTTTACAAGTTCTGTGCCTTAGTTTCTTTATCTGTCAGATTTTTTGTTTGTTCTCCCTTTTTTTTTTTTTAAACAGTTTTTGTGAACCCTTTAATTGATTAGTGTTTTTAAAATTACATTTTTGGATGCAACATGATACAACCCTATTAAATATTATGGTAACAGGTAATTAGAAAACCAGAAAGCACATATTTGAGATCGTAATACAAAATTAGAAAAAAATGCAGGCTGTGCTATCTGTGAAGAGAAAGACAAAAAAAAAAAACTTCAATAAAAAAAAAAGACAATTATAAAAAAAAAAAAAGATAAAAAAAAAAAGCAGCAAGTAGCTTCCTTGCTATTACAGGACTGGTGCTTTAAAAAGGCTGGGTCTCCTCCTCTCCTATGCTTCCTAGGTTGATACTTGTGCTGCAGTAATCAAAACAAGGAAGCAGATGGACAGGCAAAGTGGTACAGCAGCAGCTGCAAAAGATGACTATAATAATAATGTTGACATCAGTAACAGTAATTAGTGCACAGACTGTAGAGTGGATGATTCGTTTTCCTATCTTCTGGTGTGGGCATCCTGCCCCAGCGAAGGGGTATCATGTTAGTACCTTTAGTTTGCTTTGTTCATTTGCTCTGTTTATTAATGAAACTGCATACAATAAAGAAAATCCAACTTTTATCCCTCTCCAGAACACCTGCTGAGGACAGCATGCTGTCACAGTTTGGATTAGTACAAGATGGAAACTTATCAGTAAATGGCAAAATACCAAATTCTTACTTATATCTATTTTCAATATACACAAAGTTAATCCTCTCACATACAGTCATCTGTACAAACACTCCTGAACTTCAGCAGCATGTAGTACTTGTCTGGTTTTGTCTGAACAACACCACTACAGTTTGGTGTGACTTTACTCATTTCCAGGGTGGTGCCATATCTTTTTCAAGGGACACTGTATAACTGTGAAGGGCCAAGAAACACACTGTGCTATGCTGAAACATCTCAGGTAAGATGCAAGTAAAGCATCAGTGCCATCAGCAGTGCCATGTCATGCTCAGAGCACTCCAGTAGCATCAGACAAGGACGTACCACTACTCCTTAGCTGCCTCACTGAGAATGAAAACTGTCCAGCTTGCTGGTTTACGACACCATAACACCTGCTGAAGGGCAAACTAATTTGAAGAGTGGTAACTGAGAAGAAACAGACGGATTTTATTTGGGAAGAACAATTCCTCACTTAGATGCAATCCTGCAGTTGAAGTCAAAGGAAAGGAAGGCTAATCAGAGAGATCAAGGGACATGCTCAGCATAGGACAACTGAAAGCCTTTGATTTTATTTTCTAGTGAGTTTTTCCTTACTCTGCATCTACCTTCTATTGAGATTCATTTTGCCTGTTCGTTTATTCTTCAGGACGATGAAATATTTCCTTTGGCTTCCCTCCATTACCATCCTCAACAACTGGAGAAACTCCTATCACCTTTCCAAGTGCTGTTCTACAAAAGGGAAGAGTCAAAGTGAGAAGCACAAGTTCAGGGTGGGAGCCACTCACGAACATTGAAAGCTCATTTATCTGAGATCCCTTTCTGTTCAAACTCCCCCTGAGCCTTCCAGAGTTCCTTCTTCAGTCTCTAGGTTTCCATGTTTCTCCTTAAACATGCTAGTCTATTGAAGGGCTACACCAAGCCAGCAATAGATACTGCCAGATCAAACTTTTTAGTGAAGAAAGTAAGCTAAAAGTTTATAATTTTTTTGAGGTGTTTTATGTTGGTTTGGGGTTTGGTTTTTTCGTTTGTTTGCTTCTTTGTTTTTACAACACAGCTTGCAATACCTCATAGAAAAGTGATGTTCTGTGCAACATCTTTTGGAAATGAACTTAACAGACACATAAACTTAAATGCTGAATTTAACCTTCATTATTTGCTTTCACTATTGAGAAGACCACATTTGCATATGAAGAGTTTCCTCAACATATTTCAAAAATTAAATTCATGTAAATTAAAAGTCCAGTCATATACTTGGAAAAGGAGATGTTTGCTTAAACACATCTTTTGGTTTTGTTTCTTCTCATCTACTAAGGTAGATGAGATAGCTTCAATAATTCTGTTCCTAACACTGAGGGAGACCATTAAACAAATTATTCCAAATAATAATAGAAAACAATGCAACTGAATGAAAAAGAATAGGTATTCAAAAGAACAGCCATGATTATTTTTCAAGGAAGAAATTGCCAAGAAGTAGAGAAACAGATGGCTGAAAGCATTAGATGAAGACACATTCTCCTATGCAAACTAACAGACAATTAATTATTCAAATCACACAGTATTTTATGGAATGACATTAATGATCAGTAATAAAAATTGACAGTTGTGCCTTACCAGCTCCCTTTAAAGAAAACAAAAGAAATTATTATAGAAAGAGTATGTTTACACCCACCCTACTGATGTAATCCATAGGCTATAAATACATCTTTCAATGTTAGTTTGACTTTCAAAACTTTTCCATTAATTTAATTACAAACTTCTTATGGAATGGTAAAATTGTAAACAAAAGCATTCTATCATCACATTTTCCTTAAAAGAATTACTAAAACATATTCAGCTAGACTAAAACTTTACCTTAACTATTTCCTCTATGAAGCAGACATGTGACACAGGATCTCGTTTCTTTGTCAATACTTTCTGCAAATGCTGCACCTGTAAGAAAAAAATTATTTAGAGGAAAAGTGACACCTAAAACGTTACATGCAAAATTGCATGACTAGACAAACAGGAATTAGCTGCTGAGTACCTGCCCGCAAGCAGCACAGATCTGATCCATCAGTTTCTCCATGTTTGTCCAGAGGGCTGCTCGAAAAGCTGCTGTGTTCCCTGGTGTTGGCATAGCAGCTCTACCAGGGCCACCTAAATGGTTTTAAAAACACAGCAGTACATTTCAGCTTTCGCATGTGAAAATTAAAATACTGAAAATATAGATGTATATGCATTCTAACATAACATTAAAAGAAAAAACAAAACAAAACAGCCTAAAACACCTTCAAAACAGAGTTTTGTGAAGGGCCTCAGCTGTCTCAACTGAGAAGTCAATTCATCTCTGAAGTTCAGTGGGGTTACTTCAATGTGTGTCACTGTTACCTCTTTTGCCAATTAGACCTCCACAGGAACACCAAGGTAGTTCCAATGAGCACTGTTGCAGGATGTAATAGCAAAGTGGCAGAGACAGTAGCTGTGAAAATACAGGTACTAGCTGCTCCGGACTTAATTGCATAGATGAAGTGCTAAAAAAAATGATACTCCAGCTGAAGGGCATGCAGCTTCTAAACCACCACTTTCCTTGATAGGGGCTATATTTCTTTATTGTGCTAGTGACTATGGGTTTGAAACCCCAGCTTGTTGCAAAAGTTTTTTTTCAAAAGTGTTGAACATTCAGACTGTCGAAGTTCAAATTTGCCTGCCCATCTAATTCCTCAGTTTCTTTGGTATCTGAGCTAACATGTGGGAACTAAATGTTCAATAGTGCAGCGTTTCTTCATATTAAATATACTGCTTTGAAATGATCTCCATCTGACAAAAGCATCGCTTTGTAGTTTCAGGCTTGTTCCATTGAGTGCAAATAATTTCTGCCTGTGATCCTCCCACCAACACAAAGAAGGCAGAATTTGGAATCTGGATTTTGGATTCATCTTTCCATGACGAACTGCTTAAGAAAATGCTGCAAATTTGCAAACTTAGAAGGACAATTTTCTGGGCAAGTCAAGAAATAGGAGGGAGGAGAGCAATAAAGGAAAACTTCTGAGCCATACCAACAGACAGACTCAATTTTGGCTTTGTATTAGGTGATAACATGTCTACTCCTATTCTCTACAGTTTAAACATAGCAGGGAAACATTCCTATAGCAGGCTTGGATGTTTGATTTTCTTCCATTTGACAACATACTTTACTTCTGTAAAAAAAATAAAATATCAGTTATCATTTTCTGTAAAACAAGTATCCTACCTCTTGTAACAGGTTGGGTCAATACTTTGATATCCAAAGCATTTTTTATGTTCTCCTCCAGGACTGTGCAGTACCCATCCACCACATTAGCAATGGTATCCTTCAAAGTCCCAAGGTTATGGAAAACCTGAAGAGCAGTTCCCACCTGAGTAGGATTCTAGAGAAAGAAGATTTTAAAAAATCATTAACTGTACTGTAAGGGGTTTTTTTAATCCATGATGAGGCATAGTTTTACTGGGCCAGTTAATTTTTAAGTTCAGTCTGTTAATTAATTTCATTTAACAGTAAATAACTGGCATCTTTATTGCATAACAGAGAACAGAGGGTAAAGGAGAAGGCTGATTTCCTTTGCTTGCTTAGTAATGCTATGCTTAGCTTCCTTTGGTGCTATCCTCTGAATAAGAACAACGGGGAAAAAAAGGAACTGGAAGCATTGCTGGTCACACTTAACCTGGGGTGGGTTACCAGTGATCGATCCAATAATCCTGAGGTTAGTTACAGCATAGCTATATTCAGCTATGGTGTAGCTAGTAATATTAACATTCAGTATCTGTTACAGTACTGTCATTTAAGTGCTAAACAGTTAATTAAGTGTGATACAGGCTTAAAAAGAAAAATACCAACCAAAGACAAGCACAGGCAAGCAGGTCAAGCCCCTGCTACTGACTACTACAGAATTTAAGCTTGTATTTCTACATTTCTATTTCTAATGCTTACAGTACCTTCATCTTCCTCACAGAAGAATTAAGAGTGCAAAGCAACAGTGATCATTTGCAAAGCCTAAAAAAAAAGCTCAAGTGTCTCTGAATTGTTCAGAGCTTTTCTTTCCAAAACACAGGAGGCTGAAAACTATCCAAAAAATGTCCAGGTCCATCGTTTAAGAGACCTTTGATTAAGATTAATTCTGATTCCACAGAGCAACACTAAACACTGGCATGGGTGCTATTTAGCAAGAGAAAAGCCTCGAATTATTGCCTTTGGAAACTAAGCACTGTCATCCATATAGTGAATACTGCTTTTTTATTTAGCATTCACAGCCAATTAGTGGAGGGGGCAATCAGTTGATCATACATATATTAGAGATGCAGTCTTTTGTCATTTTTCTTAGTGACTTCTGCCAGCAGTACAGAACACAGGCTGGCAGAAATCCTGGCACCCAGACTGGACAGAAGCATCTGAGATGACAGGCAGGTCCCACTAGAAACCCTAGTTCAACTCTCCTCTGGCAGCAAGACCTTACACCTGGTGGTGGCTTCCTGATGGAAGACCTCCTTGTGGAGACCTTCCTGCTGGTGGCTGCAGCAGAAGCCACTAACCTTGAGAGGGTCTGCTGCAAGACCTATGAAACTCTGCTTCATCTTCCCCAGATCATTTTCTTTCAGACAGACACTCCTGAGTCAAAGAAAGAGGGTATGATCATCTACCTTTCAGGTGTGGTGAACTTGCACTGATACCATAGCAGTAAAGCTACAACGCGACTGCTGTGCTGAGGATGCACATACTGGCACATCCACCTACTGCAACAGGTTTCCTGACCCACTGATGAACAGCACGTTCTCCTCAAACCTAATGTTTCAGAGGTCACAGCACTAAAACTACACATTCATGTAACTCTTCCTAGGCTTTCTGAAAAGATCAGAACCACAGCTGAAGCAAAAAGCCAGATCCCATCTCCTTCCCCAACTCCAATGAGGAGTTTCCAGGTTTAGTGAAAAGTGAAGGAATATTAGACATGTATTATGGTTTGCAGACCTTATACTAACTGTACCAGTTTCTTTTTCCAAACAGTGTGGGAGTTAATGAGCATTCCCAGCATAGTATTGTGGGTCTGGGACTTATAGGTTTAGTTTTTTGACAACTGGGTATGCTGTAAAATTCCTAAGCATCCTGTGGGTGTGCTTGTGGAGGTGGGAAAGTAAGCCATAAAGACTGGAAGATTAATGAGATGTCAGCAAATGAAGCGTAGTACAATGCAGGGAGGGAATCTGGGGACAGAATTAAGACGAGAAATAAAATATAAATGGGAAGAGGATGGGGAATAGAATGAAAAGAAACTGGAAGGAAGAAAGAGAATGAAACTGAAAGGAAGTAAAGCAAAGACAGAAAAGACTCACCTAATTTACCAGTCTCCCCTGTTGAAATGGTTGTAATTCTTATAGAATATTTGCACAATCACAAATCCAGGAAAAGAGTCAGTAATACAAAATCAATACTGTATTACTGTAATAAGATCCCTCAACCAGGCTTCAGTCAGACTCTAATGTTAATATATGAACTAACAAAAAATAGAACAGCATCAAAAAGTGAGCAGGGCACTATCCAGCATTGAATAACAGATGGTCAGATTCTTATTTTCCTCAGAAACAGGCAGTTTAGGCACTGATAACTTCAGGCCAAAGGTGAGTCTTAGGGCTTCAACGTCATAGTTTAGCAAACTTATTTGGCAGTTACTGGTCAAGAAAGGCACAACAGTGTGCTCCAAAAGAGCCTGAGCTATATTTGGAAAGAACTATTTCAGCCAAAAAATTGTCAAACAATTCATTCTGAACCTAAGAATAGTTGGGGAATAACCAAAGCATTATGGAAACCTGCTATTCACTCCAAGTACCTTTCAAATCTAGTAGCAAGGTTAAAATCAGAATAGAACAAAGATGATGTAGGTAGCCTAGCTCTTATTTGCTTTAAATTGTGGACATGGCCACTGACAGAGGGCTTCTATCTCATATATTCATCTTGTATAACAGGAATTTGAGATATATTAGGCCCCTGACAATGTACAATAAAATATCTTTTTTATGTCTTTCATGTATAGTATTTTTCTCCTCAAAACACAGTTTGTGTTTTATATGCCCCAGACAGGCTACACAAAGCCCATTGTTGCTTTATCATTAATCCTAAGAGAATTGCATTTTTTTATGCACAGTTAGTTTCTACTTTTAGACAATATGTTAAAAGAAATGGAGCATCTCTTGGGACAAAAATTATTATGTTGAAAGCAAATGTTGGAAAACAAGAAGAAAACAAATTACTGTATTTGCTTGCATACATAGCTTAAAATTAGACTGTTTATCATTAATACACACTGGACAAAAATTTGAGAATCACTACTGCAGAATTTGCCACTACCAACAGACTTTATTTATAAGAATTTACCCCTAATGTTTTCCTTCTATTTGAGACAGCTTAAAGCTAAACACTTCTGAAATTCAAAAGACTGCAATCATTTTTATCAAATGGAAAGTATGAATTCAAAGTTAAAAAAAAAAAAAACACTGACTACAGAAGAGATTTACCATGGAAAATGGAATCACATTGGAGTATAGTATTCAGAATAGCTATTCAACAGGAACAATAGGGGAAATAATATAACTATTTTTGAGATGGAATGTAATGAGTTTATTAGCAGTATTTTATAATCAAGTTGTCTGCTGCTGCAGGCAACCAGACTTAGCAATTTGTAAATGTGCTCTTTAGACTCTGTGTCTATAAGATCCTATGTTCCTTTCTGGTTTAAGCATCTTATTTTATAGAAGGCGGCTCAGAGGTAGTAGCTTTTACCAAACACAGACTAGGCCGGTTTTACTGTGTAAAATGTATGGGCCATTAGAACAACAGCAAGACACACTTCTACTTCTCACAAGGTAGTCTCTTACAAGAAAATACCCTTCTACACAATAAATCAGTATCTTAAAAATATTTGTACATATGCCATAAACTTTAAGCTATGTCAATCAAGAGAGTAGGAAGCAAAGAAAAATAGCACAGTGTTTAGTAACATGGTAGCAGTACAGTATAATCTAATGTGCACAAACACAACCACATACAAGTGAAATAAAGCCATGACCCCCGAACTGCAGGCCTACAACACTACCTACTCAACATTTAACTACAGTGACACTCAGACTGCAAAAATTATAATGAAGCGGGGGGCTAAGGAGAGATGGAGTTAAGTCCACCGATAATACCTTTTTCCATTCAAAGCATCTCCATCTGGCATGTGACAATGTAATATGCTACAGATACAGGGAAACTAAATTCCACAACGAGTTTTGGAAGAGTCAGTGAATCATCAGTTCAACATATGAAGCAGAATTATTAAAAAAAAAAATAAAAGAAGAAAGCAAGCTCACAAATATTTATAAAGATCAGAAGTTCCTCAGCAACCATCAGACAATAAATGATGTATAGCTTGGCCGGAAGGGTGATATTAGCCACCACTGGAAAAAAAAGGCATGGATGCTTCAATCTATGTTTTAGCAAAACATAAAGATACACGTTCAACAGCAGCTATGAAGAGATGCTCATACCAAATGCATTTGCTCATTTTCTCTTTCATGAAGAACTGTTCATTTTAGTAACGCAGTTTTAGATTCATTTTATCCTATCCTACTTGGTTCTGTAAACCATCATAGACAAGAAAAAAAAGTGACAAGCAGTCATGAAGTATGAACTTTTTTCACAAGGATATCATGTGGTTGTTTTCAAGAGCAGGTAACTAGACTCAATAACCCAGATGGCACTGTCCAGTCCAACATGACATCTACATTCTGCAAAGGAGAACTCCATTTGGTCCCTTCCTTTCCCACAAGGGTAATAACTCTGTGAAGCCTAGATAGAAATGTCATTAGAGACTTAAATACATGTCACATTTCTAATTTGAAAGTAGCCTCTAGAATGTAACCAAGCCATTTTTTTCTGTCAACTGCCAACACTGCAATTATTTTATAATGTCCAATATGGTAGTCTTATTTTATGATTGCCAGTAGTGTTATCATAACAATTTTCTGAAAGCATGGCTAAAATAAAGAGCAATGTTCTTTTTCACCATTAGAAATGCAGCTTAGATGAGCAACTCTGTACCTTATAAGAGAGTGTGGTAATGACACTGAACTAATTTGGGGACAGGAAGATTCTTAGCATACAACTAGAACAAAAATAAGAAACCTGGATGACAGGCAAAACTAACTGGCTCAAGTGGCACAAGCACAACTTTCAAACTCCCACTCTACCTTCTCAGGGTATACAGTTCAACATGCAGACCTTTCTCCTCCAACCAGTGCTGTCGTAGGGAACTCCACATCATTACTTCTTCAACCCATGCAAATCTTTCCATACAACCCCATGCTGCAGGGTTTTCACCTATATGGAGTATCAATTTCCTTCTCAAATGAAGATATGTTAATTGCCAAAAATATCTATGGTCAATATTACGTGTGACAATCACAACTTTCATAAAGAACTAGTGTTACAAATTAATTAATTGCTAACTGTCGCATAGTTAAATTTCAGAAGTGTCTGTACCACATTATCAGAACAGCTCTCTGAGGAAATGTTCTTTCACATGGCAGTTTGGAAGCACCACATACAGAGAAGCCAAACTTGGACTAGTTTCTCACTTAGAAATCATGTTCCATAGTTAAAATGTACACAAGAGTATTTCTGGGTTGCTTACTAAAATCAGAACAGCAGCTCTGACTGAAAATTCATTATTCCACAGAGAACAGATGACCCTATTCAGGAAAGGCTGTGGCAGGAACACAACAAATCTTCACTATGTATATACAAAAATATATATGCACACATACACATATTATGCAACAGCTATGATTTCAGTGTACTGTCACATCCTCATCTCTATATAGTAAAACATTCACCATGTCCCCTACATGAGCACTAAAAGCATAACACAATGCAAAAATAATTACATATGTTGCTTAGCTGAAGGAAGATACACCATTACTAATTAGTCCAGGTGTAATTTCAACAGTGGTCTGACAATGTGGCAAGCAAGAAACACCATGAATAATATTTTGAACAAACCCACAACATTTCCTGGTCATCAAGAGATAACCAGCATTAAAATACAATAAACCTATTAACACATTAACCTGTAAACTAACATATATTTGCTGACAGGGAATACAAAAAAGTTATTGCAGTCCTTCCAGAGTAAATGCAAAAACCAGTTTCCAGAATGACACTTCTGAGTATCTTTGACTGGCACTTAGTATTACATAATTTCATTTTATAGTAGATTTACTACATTGGGAACTACTTCAGTTACTTTTCTACATTTACTTCACGCAGCTCATATTGTTTCTATGAGACAGCAGTTGCAATTTCCAACAGAGCACAGCTTTACAAGGTCAGTTAAATAGTCAAAAAAAGACTCCTTTGGGAGGCTGAAAATCCCCAGTCAAGTCTTCATTTACAATATTTACTTGCTCTCCTCTCTTGCTACCATTACAACATGCTGACTTCTTCAACTAATTTTCCCATAAATAACATTACTACCCCTAGCAACAAGTACTACTACTTGAAGACCAAGTCACTGCGGAAGGACCTGTTCGCACTTGCA